ACCTGATAAAACGCCCCCCTGGTCACGGCCGACAACTGGTCTTCCAGTGTCAGCCGTGGATCCAGGAGGACACCCAAGTTGCGCGCCCTCTCTGAGGGGGCCAAAGTTTCGCCCCCTATAGACAGCGATGGAATCAGCTGACTATGCCGGGGCGCCGGCAACCACAGCCACTCGGTCTTGGAAGGGTTGAGTCTGAGTCCGTTCCTCCCCATCCAGACCCGTACGGCCTCCAGGCAACGGGCCATCACGTCAAGGGCATCGTTGGGGTGACCTGGGGTGGAGATGTACAGCTGAGTGTCATCAGCGTACTGATGGAACTCCACCCCAAAGCCCCGAATGTTAAAATCAGATAATCAAACTAATTAATTAATTAAAAAACACAGAAAATACCATATAATAACCACAGGCCCCCATCATATTAAAATTCACAAAGAGCTGCAGAAAAGCTGTTTTAATAGCTTTGCAAAAAGATGCCGAGGTCAGTGCTAATGGGCGTGGGGGGATGTGAGCTGTTCAGAGTGAATTGCTCAGAAGCCATGTTCAGGATGGGAAGGAAACCATAAAGTCAAGGCTGTGGAATACTGATAGCTTTGCAGTAAGAGTGAAAGGGTTAACCCATGGCTACAAAGCAGTGGCTTCTTTGAGGTTGCCTTGTGTCGGAGCTCACCATTATGTAGGGCTCCAAACTGGGAAGGCACCTCTTTCCAGGTTCACTCTCTTAAGCATACTACTCAATTGCTCAGGCAGAATCAGCGATGACCTTGCTGACAGTCCATTAAAGCCAGAAGCAATAGAACAGTAAGCCAAGGCATTGCTCCATCCATCCATCTCAATAATGTTTATACAGAGGGAAAACAAGGGAGAAATTGGCATAAAGTGCTAGACTTAGGGGGAAATGTAATGGGTCCCAGAGAGTTTCTAACTTTCTAACACAACAGAAAAAAATTAAAAACTTTTTTCCTGTACCTTCCTGAAAAATGTATAGAATCCAACAATAACACACACGCACAAAGGAAGAAAAATGGAAAATGTTGGGGAATGTCAAACGGCAATCTTCTGGGTTTCTTTTGGAATAAGGAAATGCTTTTAAGACAAGGTTTTACACTCTCAAAATTAGTGGATAATTCTCTAATCACCTGAGCAGAGCTTCTGTCCTAAAACGTAGCTCAGGAATAAATTACAGGGTTCATGTGCATTTTCACTGTTATATACAATGTAATGTTAGAACTTGTCTTTTAACATTACAATTACATAGTTTTCCTTAAATACCTGCATTAGACTGTTCCAATAAAAACTGGGGAAAAACCAAGAGTCAATTGTTATAAATGAACTAAAGCTGTGATCTTAATTCAGCCATTGAAAACACATTTATAGGCTCAGCATGTGCAGTAAAACACTTTGCTTCTTAATTTTACAATGCACAGAATTTCATCAAGTCACCATTTTGAGGCCCTTGAAAAAAAGAGATCCATCAAACCTAAAATCATCCCATTCCCAATTATAAGAACCAGCAGCATCTTTTCTCTCAGCCTTGTGGGGATTTTCCTCAGACCTTGCTGGAACTGAGCTTCTACAGGTCAAAGAAAGTCTTCTGCTAAGTCCCAGCTCACTCCAATGAATGTGAATAGTCAGGTGTTGCAGAAAAAAATAATGCTATTCAACAAAATCAGGGGTCTTCAAAGTTGGCCCTTTTATGACTCATGGACTTCAACTCCCAGAATTCCTCAGCCAGCCAAGCTGGCTGAGGAATTCTGGGAGTTGAAGTCCATGAGTCATAAAAGGGCCGACTTTGAAAACCCCTGAACAAAATGGTCTGCTAATAACTTGAACTTGAACTTTGTAGTTCACTGAAAGCTAAGTTGTTTTACAATCTGAATCATTAGATACATCTGTTCCTCTAAACTGCTGGCATATATGCACAGTAGTGTTAGTTGCAAAGGACTAATTCAACTAACCCTCAGGAAATTGTTTAGTAACTTACAAGTTAGCCAAAAAATTAGATGAGCTACACATTTAAAAGGCTGTATTGATAAACAGCCATTATGTTCAAAGGAAGCACAATAAGTGAAGGGTTTTTTTTTCCTATCGTGAACATATAATCATATTTTACAGCAGACCCGGGAGTGGGACACATTTACTAAGTGAAGTGTGCAGGGAAGAAAATTTAAAAAGCAACAATCCATTGATTGATACATTGATTGTGATAGCTTTAGGCTTGCTGTTTAACACATACACACAAATCCAGAAATGTTTGACCTTTGTAAGTTGCTAGATTTTTTAAATACCTAATTTTCATACTTGATTTGCACTCAGAATTAATAGCCCTTCGAGCACTGTGACAATATCTTAAATGATCGACTGAAAATATATTTGTTGACAAATCAAGTGCCTTCCCTCTCTGCCAACAAAACAATGACTATTGCACTTGCTCATTTACAACGTGTCCCTCAACTACCAGTTCATCTGGATATATTGTGTGCTTAGTGAAAATTACATCACTCAATGTGCATCTAAAGAAAAGAGAAACCTGCCCCAAATTTGGTTTCACCAAATTCACATGCTCTCCCTCCCACAACCTCCTTAGTGCCCAAAGGCCAAGGTGGATCAGGCAGGAGAGCTGTTGTATCCAAGACATGCTGTGGCATGCAACTCCACAGCTGCCAACCGAAAGTCTCCTTTTTGAAGTATAGAAAGTCCTAGCTCCTCCTACAGAAAAATAAGAAATGGGGTGCTTTCATTCTCACAAGAGCCCCTCAAATCTTTAAAGCCCAGCAATGTTCACAAGAACAAGGGTATGCTACTACTATTTTTTTATATAGACCTCCCACCCAATGCTGCCCTATATACCCTTGTAGAACTGCCAGGGCTACCTCCAACTTCAGACATATAACTCATGAGCAGGAACCCAAGATATATTTCTATTCTACTGGAGCTAAGAATTGGCAGAAGTCTTGACCACAGAAACATACAGGTCACTTTTTGGGGAAAAAATGATCCCGTAGTCTCCTAAATTGAACAGATAGACCAAGATTTCCTTATTATATTCAGTCAAACTGACACTAAGACAAGGTCCCTCAAACTTAGTGATTTGGCTCAGCCACCCAAATGAGCTGGGAACACCCCACCATATATGCTCACCACTCTCCATCCTGAGAACCATACTGCCAGCAGCAGAGACAGTCTATCGAACACGGCTGGTATTCAATCCAAGGTAGGTGCGGCCCGGCAACTCGACTGGGCTGATACCTGCAACTGACTAGCTGCCTGTCTGTTGCTTCCTGGAATGAGTCAAATCTTGTTCCAGCTAGTGGGTGGCTCTTGCTTAGGACGGAATAGGCGTCATTGCCTTTCTGCCTGCAACGGAGATAACCAGTAACGCCCTGTTCCTGTGCTGATCCCTCAAGCTTCAGAGAACCATTAACCCCTCATGCTCTGGCGGTCAGACAGAAACTTTAGCCTGATAGATGGAAGTGTGAGAGATCCCACTAAAGGAGGTTCTCAGGAGCATATACAGTACATACTATACGCAAATAGATCTTGTTGCAAAAGTCTGAGGTCTCTCAGGTTCAATGCTGAGCTTTTTATGTGTGTAAACAATAAACTAAGAGCCAATGGTGTATAGCGGTTGGAGTGTTGGAATTAGGAATGAAAGAAGCCAAGTTCAATCTATGGTCAGCTTTGAAGCTCAGTGAGTGACCCTGGAACAATCAGTATGTCTGAAGGTTATTTTTTTTAAAAAAACCTGTGAAATTATTAAAATGGTCTACCTTCTATTAAGGAGAGAAAAATAAGGAGAGAGAGAAAGGGAGGGAGGGAGATGTTACATTACATCATTCCACTGTGTATGAGGAATTACATGACTTTTACCATCTTAAAGCAGTTGCTCAGTCAGCTATAGAATGGTGTATTTTTCAAAAATGAGTTCATGCCTACCATAGAACATTTGCTAAAACAAATGCAGCTGGATGTTCTAAAGGAATTATTGAATTGCTGGAGGTAATTGGCTAAAAATATCAAATCTGAGATGCAAAAGTGTGGATAGCCGCTAGAGGGCAGCAGCAGAGAGAGTCTTCTGCATCTGCATCTGCATCTGTATGCTTAATATCTTTCTTGGCTATCTAGATTTCTGCAATCCAGATCTGGCAACCTTAAGTCTACCTTTCTGCTGATTCATTTACCAGTAATGAAGTAATGGTTTCTTATTACTGAAGACTTTTGCAAACACATCACTCTGGAGAACAAGAAACAGTTAATCCCAGATTTCACTTTATTTCTCTCTATAGGCCACTATAGGCCCTTTCTGAATCTTCCTAGTATTTCACACACTGAGAAAGAGCAAGACGGACAATGGTAAAGAAAGACTGCTCTCTAATGTGAGAAGTAGAAAAAAGCACCTCAGTCATCCATTCTAATTCAATATTCTTTGTTTTGCCTCTTTACGTCTTTCAACTTAATGCCTTTAGGTATTTGTTTCATCTCAAAATGGAAGGATGGGACTTCTTCTGCAGGATCAAGAAGTCAAGAGAACTCAGCTTACTAGGAAGAAGCTCCTGGAATGACCAAAACCAAAAGAATTGGTTTCCTATAACTTTAAAACCTCTGTAGAAAAAGAATGCCAACAAGTGCACTTTTTCTTAGCATGATAGGAAACCCTGTCATTTGCTCTTATTATTAATGTTCCAAATAGTAACTTCTGTCTACCTTTGCACCTCTACCTTCTAGCAAACATATTCAGAATACATGAAACATCAAGAAAGGAGTAGCAGCAGTTGATCTGCATCATTGCTACTTACTACCAGTAGTGAAAGGAAAAAAGTAAAGACTCATCTCCCTAATCACAAGGAAGACTCAATTCCAGAAGAAGCTGGCACAAGCTGCAGCTAAGGAACAGCCATTTTGTTTTATTAGTAGCCATACATAGCAGATTTATAACATCTAGGTTTGGTTTTGTTCTTAAGGAGGACAATCCCGGCTTACATCATTCAAGGCTGAGCCAAAAGTTGAAAAGTTGGGTCTGCACTGCCCTCTGCTGATTGGAGAAAGACATTGGCTTTAACACAGAAAACCAGGGGAGGAGACCGCGGGGGGGGGGGGGGAATCACACTTTTGGAACAGACTTTTACACTGGTACA